CCCCAAAACCCCAAAACCCCAAAACCCCTATATAAGCTTTAATAAGAATTAAATGGTAATTATAGATATTTTGATAATTTTATATAAAACTTTGTTCTATCTTCGGCAATACTTTACCTTGGCTGATTAATTATTAAATAGCAAGGGAATAAAAGTTTTATTCAGAATTAAATTTGAGCGCTTAGAAAAACAAAACCTAAAATGGCAGCCATCATCGAATAAGCAGTAACTATCATCGTTGAAGAAGTAAGAAAGACAAAGAAAAACGAACCAAAGGTTTTCCCGTTCCTTCTCATGGTAGATAAAGAAGCTTTTGGCCGCATTGAAGAACAAACATTCATTTTGAAAAGCTTTTGGAAGTCACAAGCAAATAAAATCATTGTCGCCAGAAAGAGTGACACCAAAAGCATTGTAGGCTATGCCTGCTACCTTGAGATGGACGGAGGCTGCTATCTTATGAGAATTGGAGTGCGCTCAAAAAGCCAGAGACAAGGCATCGGTCGCACTCTTATGAAGTACTTATTCAACAAATACCCGAATTACCTCTCATTAGATGTAAGCACCGACAATATCAAGGCCGTGCAATTTTACAAACGTATTGGCCTTCAAATAATCGATACTTACCTCTCCGAAGACAAGGTGGAGTTCAACAAGTTTGACACTCCAGCAGACTTCATTTACATAGAGTCTTAATACAATTAATCTCAAATTAAAAAACACACTCAAATCTCTTGCACAGGTGACACCAAGGAGGAGGAGAAAAAGCAAGATGATATCACTGATGACGATAACGAGACTTAACTCAGTGAGTCTGATTCAGCATCTGAATAGTCTACTATTCCCACTGTAAATATTACTACTCTATAGGAAGCATAACTCGAAATCTAATAACAAATTTTAGTTTGATATAATCACTATAAATATATAAATATGTTAACTGTAGATTTAATTCAACTCGTTTAAAATTGCAATCTGTACTCTATTTTTGTATTCTGGGGTTTTGGGGTTTTGGGGTTTTGGGGTTTTGGGG